TGGTCACCCACCCAACTACTAACCTCCCGGCGTGTGGCTTAAGTACGGCTGAGCGGACGGGAAGCCCTGTTCTCCACACCCTGTGGTCGTATGTACTGAACTTCTTTAGTAAATGATATAAATGGTAAAACATTTTATGTTAGATGAATGGGTGGGAAAATGGACGTCCTCTGCATATCAGCCCTCCTCTGTACACTGGCACAAGCACATACGTAGCAGAAGGTTGAGATAAGTGCTTGTTTACATTAAACTTTTAATATCGTCTGCCCTGTTAGCGCTTCTTGCCAGACTGGTTGGACTTGAAGTGTGCCCCGTCGTAGTAGCTTGGTATCAGGTCTGACTGCTGTTGAAATATATATCTTCCGGACTATGACTTTTTCAATTCTACGGGAGTCAGAGCTTATACACCTGACTTTCTTCACCTTGGTGTAAATTAAAAGAACACATTATCCTTCCTCTTTCAGTTTGTAGCCAGATCAGTAGCTAATTCACATATCCCTGTTACTAATGCTACTTAGTATTTAGGATACCTCGATAGAGTAGTAGGTCCTTGGGAAGCCTTTTCCCAAGGCAGTAATTCCTATCGACGAAAGTCAAGGCGGTGAGCCTTTTGAACAATCAGCGGCCGAGGAGGATAAACCGGGATTCAGTGTTCGCTCTGCCTTACCGCCTACCATCCCTGGGACGCGTCTTGTTTCCTCCGGTGATTCGCAGCAATCAAAGTCTCCATTGATGGCCATAGGGAATGGATCCCTTCGCTTCATCTCATCAAGCAACAGGTGAGGGCATGGTCCTATCACCTGGGACACATTCACTGTCGGAGAGTTCTTACACAGCTCATCCACGTTTTCTCGAATTACAAGAGGAGCTTCGAAGTGCTCTTTTCACAGCTGTTGCTGATTCAACCTCAAAACAATCATACCTCGTCGAGGCGCCAACCGAGCCAGGGCTCTCGGAGCTCCGGCGTGACGTAGATCTCTTTGCGAGGTCTCCCGTACCCAAGGCGCGATCGATCAACTATCTGAAGAATTGGATCACAGAATGCGCGCCCTATCTCGACAAATTCGACGAAGCCCGCCACTTTGGGGTCCACATTCCGATTTTAGCGCGAGAATCCCCCGGATTATTCTACGCCATCCTTGCCTTTTCTGCCCGGCAGACGGAAAGGAAAGCGGGTCTCCGCAACTGCCATGACAGCCTCGAGCTCTATCAGGAGTCAATCCGTTGGGTATCTCCCGGCCTGCAAGCAAAAGACCCAAATGTGCTGGTGACCGCCTGTATTTTAGCAGTCATGGAGTTAATGTCCGTCAGTCCGCAGGACTGGAGACGTCATGTCGATGGCTGCGCGGCTTTATTTGACTGCTTCAGTGTCAATGGGTTTTCTGGAGGTCATTTACAGGCTGTCTTCTGGTGCTATGTCCGGATGGAATTGTGTGGAGTGATCGTTTCCAACGGTGCAGAGAGGACGGTTCTTCCTCTCGAGAAGTGGGTGCCTGCTGGATCTATGGGCCAAGCTTCGGAAAGTATTGAGGACAACGAAAAACGAGTTCGGGAGCTATTTTTGGAACAGAGCCGCCTGACTCCAGATATGCACGCAAACTGGGCCGTATATCTGTGCGCCAAAGCATGCGATCTAGTGTGCAGGCGCACAAGGCACTTGGAGCTAGGAGAATACGACACGACCGACCCGCGACCGTTCTCTGAGCAATGGAACCGACTATGGGATGAGCTGCAATATTGGCTGGAACAACGCCCGATAGCGATTCTCCCCGCTAAATCTACCAGTATGCAGGGCGATCGCATGTTCCCGGAGATTTTCTATGCTCACCAGGCAGCTATCTCCAGTAATCAATTGTATCACACAGCCTGCATCCTGTTGCTGGAGATCAAACCCCCTGTCACACTGCTCCCCCCGTCAAGTCACTTAGCCTCCTCAGTTTGGCACGCAAGGCGGGTGTGCGGCATTTCGCTGACCAATCCACATCCGGGTAACCTCATCAATGCTATTCAGCCGTTATATATCGCCGGAAAGCTTTTGACTCATCGGCGTGAACATATAGCTGTGGCTAAGCTCTTCAAAACCATTGAGCAAACAACAGGATGGGGGGCGCTATGGCGACTTAGGGACCTTGAAGCAGTCTGGGGCTATGAGACGAACGAGATTCTATCAGCTATCTGATTACGAAGGTGTTGCCTTTGCCATCAATAAGAGGCTTGACCGTTTCCAAGTACAACAGGGGTTGCTGTTTCGCAAATAGCTAAGACTACCTTGGCCTCAAAAACGCATCTGGACGCGCAAGGCTTTGTGTCAGCAACTGTTGAAAGACTATAGCCTTTAAACAGGCGATTTACGCACCCCCAACATATAGTGCATGTATATCGCTCCAAACAGCTGTGCTTCGTGATCTGGAGTACGCCAAACGACACTATCGCATGCAATGTATTAAATTACCCTCGGTGGTAAGTGAGCGGATGCTAGCAATTCAATGTTCATCAAGGTCAAGTTCGTCATCATTCAACGTCTACTACAGCATTATACATATAATTCCAATATCGTGAGCACACAGCAAGGTCTTCACATATTAACCCGCTTTATACCTGCTCGAGATGTGACCCATAGCCATCTTTCTCGATGGGTACCGGACCCTTCGACAATCGTTCGATGCAGTCGGTCAGGCCAACCTCTCTTTGCGCCTCACGCAGCATTTCGGCGTCCTGCTCCCCAGTATTGCTCTTGAAGACACGATCCATCTCCTCGAGCGACGCATTCTTGGTCTCTGGGAGGAAGAACCACACCCAGACAATACCGACACCCAGGAACACGGCGAAAAAGATATATGTGCCCCATGCCCATGCTTCCAGCATTGGTGGTACAAAGAAGGCGATGGCAAAATTGTTGATCCAATTGCTAAACGCTCCAATCGATGCACCCTTAGCACGAATAGAGAGAGGGAAAATTTCCGATACCAAGGTCCATGAACAGGGACCCCAGGTGGCACCAAAACCGGCGATATAGAGCCAGATAAGTGCTGTCGCCTTAGTTAGTCCAATCTGGATCCATGTAAAGCTAGTAAAAATGGGGCAAAATGAAGATACTTACCGACAGCACTCCAGCCCGCGGCCTCGTGAGAAGGCCAATCATGCCGGAATTTGGCCACGATCACTCCAACAATTACCATGCTGACCAACATCACCAGCGAGCCGACTAAGAGCATCGGCTTTCGGCCGACTTTATCGATGACCAACTATTGACAATTAGTGGGATGCGCGATTGGGGACGGATTTGGGGTTTCATTTGCATACCATGCCCGGCATCGTGCTGATGAGGAAGACCACGCCAGTCACTCCAGTCGCCAAGAGAGCAACAGTACCACTCGTAAGCCCAAGGCTGGTGAAGACATTCGACGCGTAGTAAATAACTGTACGACTCGTTAGCAGCTTTTCAAGCGGACTTGGAGAGAAAGAAGACCTACTGGCATCGACACCACTCCATTGCTGAAAAAACATCACCAGCCATGCAGTGCAGACCCGTTTGAAGTTGCCCATGGTCCGGAAACAGTTCGCATATTGTGCGATTTGGCTCATGAAAACACTCTTGTTTTCTCTTTCGGCTAGCCAGGGTGTCGCTTTGGCGAACGCCCTCTTTTCAAACAGGGCTTCTGCCTTCATCTCCAGAAATTCCATCTGAACCAGCTCATTGTCCTGTGGCAGCTTCCGTATCCAGGCAAGCGTGGCGAGGGCCTCTTCGTCCCGGTCCTGTTTGACCAGCCATCTAGGAGAGAAAGGCATGAACCAAATGCCGCAGGCTAGACAAACGGCAGGGATACCTTGGACGATGGAGGGCAGTCGCCAGGCCATGTCCGACTGCGTCTCGCCCGTACCCCCAATGTAGTTACTTCCGTAACCCACCCAGAAGGAGATCATGATTCCAAGAATTGTGGCGAATTGATAGAAAGATACCAAAAGACCACGCATCTCGGGCGCTGCCAATTCGGCATTGTACAAGGGCCCGACACCGCTAAACAGACCCACTCCTATGCCCGTGAAGAATCGTCCGGCATACAAGAGTGACGGGTTGCCCTCCGTGGCACCAACGTAAAGATAACTCCCGAGGATAACCCAGCAGCATGCGACGAACATGGTGTACTTTCGTGAGTAGATTTCACCCAAAACACCTGCAGACAAGGACCCCACAACTCCGCCCAGCTGCAGAATTGAAGTCAACCATCCCGTGGCTGTGGAGGAATCCACCACTGAGGGGAAGTTCTCCATGAAGCGGGTCATCACCAACGACTGTCCCAGGACACCTTGCTGGTAGCCATACTCAAAACCACCAAAGCTACAATGGGTGTCAGTTATGTGGACAAAACACTCGATATATCAAAGACAAACAACATACGACACGAAGAATGCAATGAAAAGCACTTTAGGGTTATTCGCCAGGGACCGCCACATCGATGTTTTGGCAACCTGGACATGCTGGAAGTCATTGGCCTCCCGGTCGGAGGACATGTCGACGGCCATTGTGACAAAGGTTTTTCACGTAGCGAAGAAAGATGAGTCCGGGGACATTCCGGGGAAGGGGCCATGTGGGATCTGGGGAAATATATATGTCCCAGGTTTCCCCTTGATTTTCCATCCACTCTCCGACGGGCCCATAATGGCCGAAAACCCTTCTTCTCCAGGTGACATGTTGAACGATTTTTTATTTTCGATTTTTAATTTAACTTTCTATGGAGACTACAGAGTTTGGGGCTTATTTTTTGCCGCCACCTTGGCAATGGCATGTTGCCGAATGCACGTCGTTACCTGGAACGAGGGGTCTGGAGCCTCTGTTTACCGAATTGGGACGATCAAGCGATTCTGTTCTGGTTTCACGTGGTGCATTAGGGCTAAAGTTAGGTAATAATTTCCCCCCTCGTGAGTCAAGCCCTCCCCAAAGTCGGGATGAGGGACAAGCTCAGGGCTGCTCGCATTTTAGTGCGAGAGAGACTTCTCCAGTTTTTCGTGTCGGCGCCGTCCGGACCCACTCCGGACAATTATTCATTTTTGGGGTGCGGAGGCTCGACGTCCTCTTTTCGGCCGTCCTTCTCCATAATTTTGCAGACAACAACAACACCGTCAACACGCTATGCCGCCTAGCAAACCAACCCCGGGTAAGCAAAAACGTGTGCGCACGGGATGCTGGACGTGTCGTCGGCGGAGAAGGAAGTGTATGGCTTTCCCCACATGTTTCATGATCCGGCGGCTGACCCCAGGATTTTTCAGGCGATGAACGAAAACCTCGCTGTGAAAATTGCGAGGCCAAGGGATTTTCGTGTCGGTATGGGGCCGATCTTACCTTTGTGTCAGTGCCGAACCCACGGGCACAATCACCAAAGGGCCCGGCTACTAAGGCTTTGAATTATAATACGATCCAAGTATGACGATTTCATTCGTGTGGCAACATTGAATTTGCTAACGAACGAGTAGTTTATTGATGACCACCCGACGACATCAGGCATAACATCTAACGGTGGACCTTTTGTAAATGGTCTGGGTACTAGCACCGGCGCAGTTCCCGCCGCGAGTGCCACCCAAAGCTCTATCATCGACCAACCGGTCGAACAGGCCACTGCTGATCGTGCCGAAACTGATGAATTGAACCGGTCCGCATATCTGTCAGGTCTTGGTGCCGATATCTCCCGGGAATCCACTTTCTCGGATTCTAGTACTGCCTCCCTGCTCCGAAATAGCCCTGGGACCGTTGCCAAGGGTCGGGGTTTGGCTTATGTTTCGGGAAATTGCAGCTCTAGCTCCCATGGCCCCATCACCAGCAACCCGGCTCATTCCATCTCGACCAGTGGACCTGATGAGATTGCTCTGCTGCGTTACTTCCGCTACCATCTGGCCCCGTGGATCGATATTGGGGACCCAGAATGCGGATTCGAGATTCAGGCATTTCTTCTAGCAAAGACCGAGCGGCCACTGTTGGCTGCCATCATGGCGCTTGCCCTGATTCATTCTTCACTCCAGCGAAACAGCGACGCTATCGATGTGAATGCGACGCTTCAGGAAGAGGCTGAACGTGGTCTCGCCCACGCGGATGATCCTGTCAAGGCAATGGGACAGGCCCTCTTGATGTTGCACGACTTCTTCTTCTCCCGTCCGCGCCAATGGCGAGAGTTTCTACGAGCTCACACACGTGGATTGAGTGGTCTTGATTTTGCGGATACCCCACAGGGTTTGCTAAACCAGCCATGGTGGCTGCTCCACTCTCGAATTGGTACGCTATCCCAGTTTCATCAACCCGCTTATAAGAGTGACAAGGCTGACATCTGTACCGAAGATCTTGCTGCGGGTATCATTAGTGCAAAAGCGCCATTGATGTCATACCGCTCCCAATTATTATCTGATGGCCCATTCCCACTAGTGCCACAACAGCGCCCGGCAAAATGGGTCTTCCTACGTGTTCTGCTTCTTCTAGCGGATACTTTGTCACTTCTTTTCAGCCCAGCTGATACGCTATCCCCAAGTTCCGAACGTGGCGGGCAGCTAGCTGTACACGCCTTACTTCAAACGGACTTCACGTCACAATGGGTGTCTCTATGGTCCAATTGTCAAGAATGGTACCACAATCGCCACGTGGAGATGCGACCGATTTTAGACATTCGCGGTGTGGAGGCGGATGAGATTAACTCTGGAACCTGCTCATCTTTTCCTATCCTTATCTACACGTCTCCCCTTGCCCTTTTGGCCAACACTATCTACCATATATCCTCATTCCTTCTCCTCATTCACAAACCAAGGCTACTGAAGACTATCGCTGGTCCGAGACGATTCACCTCACGCATCTGGCACGCTCAGGCCATTGCAGGAATTGCTACAAACAATGAGTTCAAGGAGCAGTGGGACCCGATCCTGATTGCTAGCCTTCTCACGGTAGCGCCAGAGATGACCCACACATCGCAACAATCAACTCTGCTCAACCTACTGGGTAGTATTACTACGGCAACTGGGATCAAGTTAGATTCTGAGATAGATGGCCTGAGATCTAGCTGGGACATCTCACAATACAATGAAGACGCGGTAAACTGATGGGTAATGTATTCATTATCGTGTTTCCTTGTGGTATTCTGCGGGTATTGCTTCGCCTCATTGGTGAACTGCGATCTCATATGCAAATGGAATACTTTCAATTGCGCCCTTTCTCTGCACACACATGGCAGCCGCCTGGTTCGCCTGCTGTACGGCCGACTCGATGAAAGCATCAAAGCCCTCGAGAGGCTGTCCCGCCGCAGCGTACTTCGCGAATGCGGCCGAGAAGTAGCCCACAAAGGTATCTCCAGCGGCAGTGGTGTCCACTACATTCTTAACATGCACGCCGCGAACAGAACCGTTCCGGCCAGTGGCTGTCGAGAAGAATACCCCCTTCGCACCGAGCGTGATCAAAACAATGGGAATCTTAGCCACCTGGTGGAAAAGCGGAGCCAACAAATCCGGTTGCAAATCGGCTTCGCTTAGAGATCCCACTGGGAAATCAGGAATTGATTCTGCCATCTGGACGGTCTCCGTTTCATTCATGATCAAGACAGCTGTACCGGACAGTGCAGACAGTGGAATACCATCCGGGTACACGGGCGCAATATTCAAAACGACATTGGTCGGATTCTCGGTCCTATTATAATGCTGCATCAGACCAATCACAGTCGACCTGGGAATCTCTCCCTGTAAAACCACGACCTGCGGCGAAGCAGGACACTGTGTCTGAACGACGGCAAGGGTCTTATCAACATCATTCATTCCATCATGATTTGCTCCTGGTACCACGACGATGCGGTTCTCCCCTTGCTCGCCTTCTTCCACGATAATAGTCGCCGAGCCCGTTTGGCAGTCTGTTCTCTGCTCGATTCCCGTCGTGTCCACCCCGGACCTTTCCAATGCTGGTTGTAGCAGCGTTGGGTAATATGGATCGCCTGCACCTACTGCACCGATCATGCTCACAGCCACATCTTGTTGTGTCTTAGAGGTGAAAGCTGCTCGTCCGCATGCAACCGCTTGGTTGGCGCCTTTACCGCCTGCGTCGATAGACAGGGAGGATCCCGTTAGCGTTTCCCCTGGCCCGGGACAGCGCCGGGCATATGTGACGAAGTCGACGTTGAGGGAACCGATAACGCAGATATGTGGTTTTGAAGCCATTTTTGAATATAATGAACTTTCCCTTTCCTCTCTATGTATTCTTTTTCAACCGAATTTCAAGATATAATTCTAGTATAGATCGCGATCGATATTCGTAATTCTCAGCACCAACGTAGAAAAGACACAAGAATTCAAACATTCAATCCAAAAACCCCTCTCCCAAACGCCCAAGAATTTAAACATCTCTTATTCCCTGTGACTAAAAAAATCCACCGTCAAAACCCACCCAGAAACAATATGTCATGGAATTTCCTCTACCAATGTAACCCAGACCCCAGTCACGCTATACCAAATCAAGTCAACGTAGCCTACACAGTCGTGACACGGCCCGCGGCCTCCCATATTATGACCCGCCGGCCCGACCGAGCGTAGGCTATGACGTCCCGAATAGGACTAGCGCACGGGTACCAAGAGGGATTTTTTTTTCGGCGGCGGGGTACCGCTTTTCGGGTTGGTTTTTCTGCCATTTTACTCATATGTGTGGGGTAAGGGGTAAGAGGTAGAGGATGATGATCTCGTGGAAGGTAGAAATTTTTTCGAGGGGTCTTGTTGGATGGGGTTTTGGTGGGGAGTTACGTCATATTTTTGGGCCTTTCGTTCGATTTTTCTCGTGCTTTGGTGAGGTTGACGTAACTTTTTGGTTGGATATATATATTTTAGATCGTAATTGGGATTGTTCCACGTGTTCGTGGTCCGAATAATTGTGGTCTTATATGCACTGGAGAAAGAGAGAATTAGACTTGATCATTAACTGTGGAAAGGCGAAGACCGTGGTTTCTCTTAACGAGGTTGATTTCTTAGTAAACTATCGTAATTTTATATATATTGATTTATATTGTGCGGGGATCACGTGGTAAAGGCCTTTAGGTACGGAGTATTCACATACAGTTACTATGCTGCTAAATATACAGCTGGGTAGATTAGACTGTGCTTCTAATAGGGCTATCACAGATGACAAGCCAACAAATCATCCACAGGCGAAGCAAGACGATGTCTGTCTTCCATAAGTACGTGATTATGTGAGTATAAATATTTTCCATACTCATGACCGCGGGTAGGTCTGAGATAGATTTGAGTCACCGAATGGTTTCTAAGCACTGGTGACAATCCTCGTGTTGTTTAGCACAATGTATTTCATCCAGGTATGAAGCGGGACTGGATACACGTTGTCATTTACAAGTTCAGGCTCACGGTAGGGCAATGTATTGAAGACTGTGATTTCTGTCGGGAAGTATGTCTTTTGAGAAACACACAGGTAAAACTATTGGCTAACAACTGAAGTGACACTCATTGCGATGTATGTACATTTCAAAAATTCCCGTTTCCCGATATTTTTCTTTCTTTGGCTTGTCATTTCGGAAAGAAACGCACAAAAACATACAATAGCCCGGGTTTGTTGTTCGTTAGCTATTCAATCACTAAATGCTATGACAACATGACTTACTCATGAGTGGAACAACTAAGCTAGAGAAACTATAGTCCTCCAAGAACCATATAAGGTGCTTTGGATATACATCATACGATGGAGATATCTGAATTCATCTTCATGCTCATCTCAGACATCCTACTAAAAACGGCTGTGCTTCCTTTCCATAGAAACACTATAGTATCTCAGTCACAATGAAAGCTAGTATACAACTACAGTGGGGGTTCAGAAGTTTGTGACCCCCTATACATAAAGGTACCCAGTGGCTGTATCAACCTGGTAGAGAAACTAGGTGCCTTTATGGATAGGGTCACATACTTTTGGACCTCAAAAAACCCCGAAACCAGCTACTTACGGCAAGCGCAGCTTACCTAATTAGGCAAGGTGCTACTGAGTAAACAAATTTGTAAATCTAATCATTTTGCTAGACTCGGTCTCCACTGCTGAGATGGACATCTATCACTCTTGTTTTCTGTTATTGCGCGAGGCTTTAGTTGAATCAAACCACTATTCCTTCGATGAAGAATTTTACTGCTTCGAGACAGAGCCACACAATCGAAAAGTCGTAAAATGGTTCAAGATTGAACAAAAATGATAGTATGCTTAGGGTACTACTAGGTCATATAACAGATCCTGGGTGTCCCTGTTTCAACATCGTGAAGCATTAATCATGCCCGCGGACATCGCGCCCTAAACCTTCCAAAAAGCCTCTCAGCGGATCAAATCCGAATGCTTTGGCTGAAACTTGGCTTTTAAACCTTTCAAAGCGATGTGCGCTAACCCATCAATGTTCCCTGCGTTCATAAATTCCATCACGCTGATCTCCAGTTCCAACGTCTGACACCACCAATTACGAATTTCAATAACTACCAGAGAGTCAATTCCCATGTCTACCAGTGACCTGGTCGTATCTAGCTCTTCATCCGCCTTGAACAGGAATGAAACTATCTTGCGCCCCAGTTCGTCTCTCAAGAGGGTGTAACTCTCAGCGTGGCCTAGGATACTCGGCTCCCGAGAGGCCTCCGCCAAGAATGTTCTAAGGCCATTGTCCACATCGCCTCGAGCTTGCGGAGCCTCCTGTGCATTGTGAAAGAGTCTCATCCGTTTATCGCGCTGGAAGAAGCCCGGTAGGCGAGCTAATGGGGTCGCGAAACCAGGTGCCAGGCCGATTATCACATCATGCTGACCGCCGCACGCCAATTTTACGGATTCGATCACCTCTCTCTCTTGGATGGTTTGGCCGGCCCAAACAGCGAGTCCACGCTGTGTCATCCGGCCACTTTCAGAGACATAACCAATATCCCTGACAATTCCTAGGTCGATGACGGATGCCGGAAGACCAAGTGATCGCCGGTATTTCGTAAAGCAATCTAAAAACGTGTTGGCGGCGGCATAGTTCGCTTGGCCTGGCTGGCCGAGAATCCCGGAGATGGAGCTGAAAGAAACAAAAAAGTCCAAAGGCTCCCCCTGCGTGGCCTGATGAAGATTCCAGTTTCCTTGAACTTTGGGCAGAAGAACATTGGTCCACTCGACATGGCTCATACTCAGGAATGCCCGATCCTTGGAATGAAGGTCAGTAATAATGTTACCAGTGCGCTTGGTGGGAGGGGATTGCTGTACCTCCAAAGCCATTGACATCTGGAATACACCAGCGATGGGGGCATTGCATTGCTGGACAGCCCTTTGGACATCACAAAGGTCCGATACATCGCCTTGTATCACAGTGACCTCACATCCTTGTACCCGTAACTCTCGTAACAAGGCTTCACGGGTCGTCGTCGGTGAGCTGGCCGAACGTGAAAGGTACACCAGCTTGCGAGCTCCCTGTTCCACCATCCATTGCGAGACGGCGCGACCTATTCCACCTAAGCCCCCGACCAGCAGATATGCGTGGGTTGACGAGAATGAGATTGTGGCCGGCATCTTGCGAGTTGGACAAGGCCTGGTGGACATATTTACAACTATTTTACCAGTGTGTTGGCCGGCCTGCATGTAGCGGAACGCCTGCTCGATCTCGGTCGCATCAAATGCGCGAACTGGGCGAATTGGTTGAATAGTGCCTCGTCGGACCAAATCGACACACATTTCGAGGAGTCTATCCTTGTTAGCAATTTGTCTATCCAGTTGCTCTGTAAACATGTTCTTCCACTTGCCTTTGGCATTCTTGAGGCTGGTATTCGAGGATTTCCGCAAGATCAACACTGATCAATGATCGATTCTGGACCATGGGAGCAAGGCTCAAGTTAGCATGACCGACAATATCACGTTTTCCAATCTCAACCATTTTGCCAAATCGTGCGACACATTTCCATGACGCGTGTAAGAGCTCCCCAGAAAGTGAGTTCAACACCAGGTCAACCCCCCGGCCGTCAGTTTGTCGCATCATATCCTCGTAAAATGAGGGTTCGCGCGAGTTAAAGATATGATCGCGCGGGATACAGAATCGGTCTTGAAGATACTTGGTCTTGGTTCCACTGCCTACAGTGGCGTAAACTTCAGCTCCTATCATTCGACTGATCATAATAGCGGCAAGCCCTACGCCACCACAAGCCGAATGAATCAGAACAGTCTACGTAGCTAGTTGTAAATGTCTGTACAGATTCCAAGGTTGAGGAAGAGTAAAGATCGTATCCACTCACCTGTCCTTTTTTGAGCTGCCCAATGGTCATCAGAGAGTGGATGGCAGTGGCATACACACATGGCATGGTGGCTGCATCGTCAAACTCAATGTTGTCGGGGATAGGGGCACAAAGCAGCGACGAGGTCACTATACTAGTGGCAAATGAGCCGGGACTCATAAACATGACTCGTTGTCCTGGAGTAAGAGAAGAGTGCGGTCCGACTCTATTCACGACGCCAGAACCTTCTAAGCCCAGCCCGTCCTTTCGTGCATCTAGTATTCCCTGAGCGCATAAAAGATCCTGCGATTTATCAGCAATTCGCAGTCATGTAGATACAAGTGCTTTCAGATCAACTTACCTTGAAATTTAGGCCCGCGCTGTGAACATTGATTTCTACCTGGTCGCCTTGCAAATCATCAGGTTTGTCAAGCGGTACCCAAGCAAGACTATTCAAACGACCAAACGCCTCAATGCGAAGCCCGACAGCATCGGAAGATATACTGCTAGACTGAAGGGTGAGGATTTCTTCTGGCGTGTGCCGTTTGTAGCGAGAAGTGAGAATTTTCCCGTCCTGATGTACGAATTCAAAGTCGGTGTTGGTACTATCGGTCTTGTCTCTCGCCTGGAACTTGCGATAGATTGATTCCAATGCCGTCCAAGATGCTTGGTCAAAATATTCGAATTCAACAGTGCCCATTTCGACCGCAAGCTCAGAGCGGATAGTGCGAGCTAAGCCCAAGACGAGACCAAATCGAGGATCTGCACACTTGAGCTGAATTGACCTTGTTATCCACAAGATCCCGGTTGATTTGCAACCAGAAACGAACTTCTGGAAAGCGATAAGGTCTGAATCAGAGATATTATCGAAAAATGGGCCCTCAATATCCAGAAGGGAAACGACATCACCCGTAGGTGGCAGGCTTCGCAAAGAGCATAGATGGACTGTATAGCCA